GCAATGTGAGATAATTGATAAAGAAAGTTGAAATAAATTCTAAAGTGGTATGAGCTAATGTTATTTTTCACTCTTAAAATATCTCGTAAACTAGTTTTTTTTTTTTTAATGTTCAACAAACCAGTGTTAGTAGTATTTTTTACTTTTTTTTAATATCCTATGAACTAGTACAACAATTTCATATAATTATGCTAGTAGCAAATCAAACAGTTTACTGTAGCAAATCGATAGCTCTGGAATTTTTTTTCAAAATTGAGGGCTCATGTTGCCCACTTATTGAAAGAAAATGTGGGCAACTAATATTTTTTTTTACTATTCAATAAACTAGTATTAGTAATATTTTTTTCTTTTTTAATAGGTATTCCAATAAACTAGTATTAGTAATATTCTATGATCTAGTCCTATTTTTTTAATCCCTATTAACTAATATCTTAATATTAATCATATAATTAAATAATGCCTAATATCGTTATAATATTAGTCAATGCAACCATTGTATTACAAGTTGTAAATAGGTATTCCAATACAAAATGACGTGGAAGATGGACCATAATAGTTGTTCCACATCGAAGAGATTGGGAAGAAAATGGGCTATAAAAGAAATTGCCTCAACATCTACTGACGTCGATTAATTGTTCCACATCGAAGAGATTGGGAAGAAAATGGGCTATAAAAGAAATTGCCTCAACATCTACTGACGTCGATTAATGTGGTGCAGGGCCAACGTGGTAGATGATGTCTAGATAACTTTTGGTGTTTTTAATAGAAAAATGTCGAGAAAACTGATAGGGACGAGTAGACCCATCAATCCATGACATCAGTATCCGTCAGCAGGCCTAGAATCGGCGGATCGTTGACTTTTGAAACAACGGTTTGAACCAAGAGGCCTCTTGCACTATCCGTCAGCAGGCCCAGAATCGGCGGATCGTTGACTTTTGAAACATAGGTTTGAACCAAGAGGCCTCTTGCACTAGTGTGGTAGATATTCCCTTGTGGGCGATTAATCATTCTAATCAATGTTGTCAAATTCGCTTCGCGGTCTTTTTTTGGTTTGGTTTGGTGAGGAAAATGATGGTTTAGTTTGGTGAAGATTGGTGTGGTTTTTTGGTTTGGTTTGGTGAGGAAAATAATGGTTTAGTTTGGTGAAGATTGGTTTGGTTTGGTGAGGAAAATGAAGCGATTCGATACTTTGGCCAATTTGGGGGAAGATTGCAGGTTTATTTAATTTAATATAAATAAATTAGATATTTATATATAAAAACTTATAAAAATAACGAAAAAATTAAAAATAAAAAATTCAAAACAATATTTTTATATAGTATTTCTTTGCTTGGGTCGAAGAGGTCGAAGCAAAGGCCAAATCTGCCCAAAGCAAATCCGATTATGACCAAAGCGGTCCAAATCTAATCGAAGAGACAACACCAATATATAAAAATAATGAAAAATTTTAAAAATTTTATATAGGTAGTTTTTTGCTTAGGTTGAAGAGGCCGAAGCAGACTCGAATTTGACCTCAAATCTAACCAAAGCGACAATACCAATCTTCGCTTCGCTTTGGCGTCTTCCGCCAAAGCAAAACGAATTTGACAACATCGCTCCTAATTCACTAAGGCATTTCAACTATCAGATATGATTGTGGCCCCTGCTATTTGTTAGAGATGGTTAAAGGATTTATGTTAAGAGGTGAGCATTTCAAAGGAGTTAAGTCCATATACATTTATGTGATTTCGAAGAAATATGTTATAACAGATCTTTCTGATATTTGACCAATTAGACTGCTCACAAGTCTCTACAAAATTGTGGCTAAAATTCTAGCAAAACACTTTAAGGTGGTTTTGCCATGTATTATTTCAGGCCCCCAATCAACCTTTATCCAAGATCGAATGATTACCGATGTGTTGGTGGCTCAATAATGCATTCATTCGATGCTTTCAAGTCAAGAGCCAGGTGTGATAGCTAGATATGGAAAAGGCCTATGACATAGCAGAATGGAGTGTCCTCCTTGAAGTGATGAGTAGGATGAATTTTGGAGTGAAGTGGAGAAGTTGGATTTTAAAATGTCTCTTTACAGCGCACTTCTCTATTTTGATGAATGGTAGCCCAAAAGGTCTTTTCAGAGTCTCTAGGAGTTTACAACAAGGTAATCCTTTGTCGTGTTTTCTGTTTATCCTTTCTGCAGGATGCTCTAGCCTTATGGTTTGAAATGTGGAGAGTTGAGGTAAATTTTCAGGTTTCAAGGTAGCCCGGGTGGGACCAAAGGTGTCTCATCTTCAACATATAGATGATTAATTTCTACAAGGCTGAGCAGACTCAAGTGAATAATATTGGGAAATTTTTTAGGTGTTGTGAAATGGCATTGGAATTGAAGGTTAATTTTGATAAAACAACCGTGATAGGAGTAGGGTATAATGAATTTTTTTGATAAGAGAGTTAGCAGAGTATTTGGATTATAGGGTGAATGTTTTCACTATTACCTATTTCGGGCTACCAATTTCCAATGGGAGATACACTGTTTAAGTGTGAGACAAGGTGCTACAATGAGTTCAATTCAAACTTGATATGTAGAAGCCAAAATTTCAACTATTGGGAGGTAGAGTGAACTCCTAAAATCCTGCTTGGCAAATCTCCCCACCTTTCAGATGTCACTTTTACAGATGCCAAGTGTGATTGCTAGGAAAATTGAATATATGATGTTAAATTTTTTGTGGGGATCTTACGAAAAAGAAATTAAATTTCACTTGCTTAGATGAGAGAAGGTTTGTACCCCCTAAGAGTGAGGGTGGGTTGGGAATTAAGAAGGTTTTGCTCGTCAATAGGACACTACTTGGAGAAGCCTCCATTTGAAGGATCAGTCATGGTCTTGAGTCCTATTGGCTAAGTATGGACTAGATAGAAAAGGTATGTCGATTGCGAAAGGAAGGGGAAGCTCTAACATCTCTTTCTTATGGAAATCAATCTTCGCTTGCAAACCTTCGATAGAACGAAATGTTCGATGGAGTGTGGGTATGGTTAATCAGGTGTTGTGGAATAGGCCACTTAGAATCTCTTACCTGGAGATCTTTGATAAGGTTTCTCAACCAAATGCTAAGGTTGTTAGTGTGCTTGAATTTTAGGGAAACAGGGTGGTTTGGAATCTAAATTTCCCTTATAATAGATTACATGATGGATTATATGCTTGGTATGCTAGCCTTATGCAGGATTTGTATGTTTTGTATTTCTCGAATATAGAAGATGAACTAGTAAGGGATGTGGAAAGCAATGGGCAATTTTCTATGAAATCTTTATATAGGTTGCTCTTCCATGTTCGTTGGCGATGATCTTTATTACAAGCTGCTCAAATTTAGAAGTGGCCTATCCCTCACAAAGCCCAGGCTTCCATTTGGCTAGCAGTTCAAGAAAAAATCTTTACTGTTGATAATTTAATCAAGAGGGGTAAGATTATCCCAATTGTGTGCTTAATGTGCAAGAAAGAAGGAGAATCAGATGCCCACCTGTTTGTCCTAAGAATTAGTTATTGGTGTTTTCAGCAATTTGGGGTGAGGTTGGCTATGCCACAAAATGTGTAAGATATTGTTACTCAATTTGCTTTTCAGAGTCTTCCCAAGGTTGGAAATGTGATTGGGAAAATTCTTAGGGGGTGAGAGACTTTGAGAAGTATAGAAAGAACGAAATTGTCGAACATTTAATGGGAATGCATTGCCTTTTGATAGAGTTCTCAATAACATTAAACATTTTTTATGGTTATGATTGTTGGTTACCTAGGAGGGTTGGGATATCTCAAAAGCGGACATAATGCTAAACCTCTCAAATTTGTTAAAGTTGGATGTGGTGAAAAGTCGACCTAAAGGTAGATGGTTGCCATCCTTGCAAGGTCGTTTTAAGCTCAATTTTAATGGGTGCTCATTTAGTAACCCAGGGCGGGCAGGCTTTGGGGGGATTGTTAGAGATTAGAATGAAAATGTCATTTTTAACTTATGTTGGTCTATGCGGTAGCAATATTGCTAATCATGTTGGAATTCGTAGCCTGCTCCAAGGCTTGAAAGTTTTTAAACAAAGGAATATAGGAGAATTTTGCATTGTTGAAAGTGATTCGATGAGCATTATTAGATAATGTAATAAGGAACAAAAAGTTCCATGGCAACTGGAATAGGTTTGGCTATAGGTCTTAGATCTGGTGGCTTCCTTAACGGTTTCCTTTCATCAATGTATTGGGATTCTACTGATATTGATGATGCTCTCGTAAAATGGGTTGCTGGCCTTCATTCCTTGTTGATCTACGAAGATATAATCTCTCCGATGTAATCGCATTTTATTAAGGGAAATGACCATGTGAGACCCTCCCACACGTATATGTGTAGGACATCCAAAGATCACCATTAAATTTGATACAGATATCTAAAAAAGTCAAGTCCCACACTCATGTGATAACGTTTTTAGAGATCTGTCAAAATTTAATAGTGATCATTTGGGGTTCTACTCACATGGGTGTGGGAGGATCTCATAGGATCATTACTCTGCACACCCATGTGAGTAAGACCCCAAAGGATCACGATTAAATTTTGACATAGATATCTAGAAAACCCATTTACCCAAGTTCTACACCCATGTTATAACTTTTTTAACAATGTGCGTCAAAATTTAATAGTGGTCATTTGGGATCCTACTCACATAGGTGTAGGAGGGTCTCATAGTGTGATTTCTCATTTTTTATAAGAGTAATGATCCTATCTCCTCCACTTATGTGCGTAGGATCCCAAAAGATCACTATTAAAGTTGACACATATATCTAGATAAAGTTGACACATATATCTAAAAAAATTATCATATGAGTGTGAAACTTGATTTTTTTAAAAATCTACACCAACTTTAATGATGATCTTTCGGGATCTTACACATAAAGTTGGGAGAGGGTCTTGTAGGATCATTCTTCTTTTTAAAATTATACGACTTTTAATTATTTGGGCCGGCCAGCCCATCGTTGTAATGGACCGTCAGCACTGCCCCGCCTTTGTAACTAAAGCTTTCGGAGAAGAAAGGAAAGAAGCGCCAAAGTTGTGGCTCCTGAAGCAGAGCAGCAGCAACTCGGGCAACAATACGCCGTCTCTCTCTAGAACTCCAACTTCTCCGTGTACTCTCTCTCTCTAGAACTCCAACTTCTCCATGTAGTGATTGATGGATGCTTAAAGATTTCACATTAGCTGCCTGAAACACTGCCATGGCTCTATCTCATCTCTCTCTAACCCCAACATATCTTTCGAGACCCGCTTATCTTGTCTGCCCCTCCTCCTCACTCTCCACCAACTCATGCCAGACCAGGATTTCTCTCTCTACCTTTTACAAACCCTATTTCATAAAACCCAGCAAGCTTAGCAAATGGGCTCTCGCTCTATCAGATAGCAACGCGCTTTTCATACAGGATGAGTTGGAAAAGTTGAGCAATTTTAATGGTGAGAGTCTCCCTTGTGTTAGGACTTATGAGAATGATTTGGGGCGAATGATAGTGACTGGGGAGGTGGATTTAGAGCAGGCCCTAACGGCAGCTGCTGCTGATGGTGGGGAGGCTGCGAAGGAGCATATGGACTCGGGCATCGCGACAATGGTGATTGAGACTGTTTACCCTGAATCTTCTGGTGAACATGGCACCATCTCAACTAGACTGGTATGTTGAATCAATTTTCTCTTTCCAGTTTTTCGTTGTTGTAATTTTCGGGAATAAAGCTACTCTCTCATCCGCTTTTGAATTCAGGATGATTGCATTATAATGGTAAAAACACCCCATGATGGGTGGTTTTGTCCTCTATTGTGGTCAATGTATAGAGTTGGACCAATCTATCAAGAAATGCTTGATTCTCAATTAAATTTGTTTTTCTGGAGGATAATTCGTTTGGAATATTGTTTATTTTGTGGCGTGTTATCGGTGATTGAATTGCAAAGTTCATTTTCTCGTTTAGGGTCAATTAACATAAGGAGAAGCGTTTGGTGAGTCCGCTGACTCATGCATTCTCCCTTTTCAAGAGATTTAGGACATGAAACACATCCGAAATCACTGCAACTCTGTTTCTGCCTCAGTTCCATGAATTTGGAGCTAGGTAAAATGAATCGTCAAAAAAAAAAAGAAGTACAAAAGTGAAACTCGGCCTCATTGTTTTTTTATTTTTGTTCCAAATTCATGATTATGGTGGTTTAGATGATAGGCCTATGAAATTTTGGATCCAAAATTCATCTCCAAGATGTATTTTGGATAGGTGGACTCACTGTAAGTGCACAGAAACCATACCTTTACTATAATCCATGGGAATTTGTGTTTTTGCTATATTGGGCAACTACTCAAAGATGGTTTGATTAGTAAGTTTACTAGTCTTTGTTAAAGGAGTAAACTTAGTGGTGAAAAATATAGTGGTGAAAAATAAGAGTAACCTGCAATCCTTGCATTTAGTGGGCTTGTTGGCATTCTAGATAAGTTATATTCTGATGTTAATTTTTATTTGTAAGCTATTAATTGTTGGTCAATTTTATTGTCTTAGCAAGTTTGTTTGTTTCTTGGTTAAACAGAGTGGGAATGATGTTGTCTAGTTTATGAAGTGTCTGTCATATAGGCTAGCATAACAATCCTAAAAGAAGAAAAGGTAACCTTGAGGAATAGCATGATGAAGACTTTGTGTAGTATCCTGTACGTTCATTATTTTTTTTGCAACAGGAAGGCTCTATTCAACAGAACTGCTTGGTGGTCTTTTGGTGGGATTTCTGTTTCTTGCCAGATAGTAGATAGTATTTTTTCCTGGTTTGGATGGATGCTCAAACCCTTGAACTGCAAATTGGGTATTGAGCACAAGAAACAGAGGCGTCTAACATCTTTGTATTGGATATGTCTCTGCATATGTTGGATCTAGAACTCTAATTCATAGTCATTCTTGTTTTCATCTTTGGAAGAACAGTCTCCTTCCATTCCTTTATTTCTCAATAAGTTCTACTATGCTGCGTTTTAGAACTGAATTTATTGTTCATGGAAATGGAGACTATTGAAAATGATAGGAATTATTTAGTATTTGACTTCTTGGAAGTCTATTAGGCTTCAGCTTAGTGGTAGACATATTGGTCCGAGGGAGGGAGGTGAGGTTGAATCCTTGAAGTTTCTCCAAGGAAGCCCAAACAAGCTAACCTAGCCTTTTTGTTTTCCAAAATAAACTTGTTGGATACTACAAAGTAGTGGTCATAATCATCTTGATAAACATGGTACACATGACCATTGCATGGTAGTACTTGGATGATAGTGAAATATTGTTGGCTACAATGTAAATTTGAAGTGTTCGTTCTAATTAATTGCAGAAGCTATGGAACACAATGGAATAATTAAGCATTTACTCTTTACATCTTTCCTTTTTTTTGGTATTAGGATCTATTACTATGTTAGAGGTATATAAAAAAGTAGGATCAGAGGAAGTTGTTCAACTTATTTGAACATTTGCTTGTGTCTCTGCTCTAATTGTTTTTCTGCCAAGAAAACGAATGCATGTTAGCGCAACGGCTTTCGCGCTACCGTTGCTTCTTGCAAGAAAAACCATTCAGTTCGAGCTGGACGATTCAAAGTTTGATAAACATTAGCTCAAACTCTCGTTCTTAACTTCTTGATCAATTGTTTTTGCTCACCACTTTCTACGTTATTGATTCAATCATTCCGATTGATGAGCTAAACCAGATAGTTATATGAATTAAACAAAACTGCTTTGCTTATGGATTTGCAGTAAGAAAATGGAGTGCCATCCCTATGTACAAGAGCAACCAACATAAGTAGTGGGAACTATCCTTGATCTCTGTAATAACGGCTTGAACGTTTGTATATCATAGGGAAGGAGAGCAAATCGGCAAACTAATTGTAGTATGTATGGATAGGAGCAAATTTCTCTGTTTTCTCTTTTCGACATCATGTTGATGTTAAATAGGTAAGAGTGCTATTTTTTTACATCGTTAATTCTTCAGTAAACATTTTTGTTTGTTATTTTTATGTTCGGGTAAAGTTTAATTAATCTTTGGATTGGTATAAATGTTTCCTCTTCATTGCTTATGTTATGAACTGATTGCTTCTCACAGGTACTAAAAATGTACTTTTAACAGTTTCTTCCTGCAAGAAAGGTCGAAGAGAAGGCCAGGAAGTTACGGAATTCTCTCACTGCAGATATCTTATCCACTACTTCTTCTCGTAATGTACTTGCCATGACCTTCAGACAGGTTGTCCTGCAACAGATATGGAGCTTTGAACTTCTCTTATTCGAACCTGGATCTGAGCGTAACATGGAGGAGCTTGCTAATCCTAGAGAGGTTATATTATGGTTGCAAATTGCATATTTATTAGGATAAGTTTACCATACGCATCCTATGTATTGTGCATCATACACTGGCGGGGCATCCACCATCCATTATTGAAGGTGGATGATGGAGATGAACGGTAATTCTGGTTGAATGTCCACCAACCAGAACTACATTTCATCTCCATCATTCATCTTGAGAATGGAGCATGCATGCCCAACATATGTGCTTTATATCATACACATGCTGTGCATGGTACACTTTCCACATAGATTACTATGTTTCAGAGTACCATAGTACTGAACTGGATGTTGTCGTGATAGTTCAACTAGTTTCATCTTTACCCGTTGGCAGATCCCGGCTTTCTGCACACTGAGTTCCTCAGACATAAAAGTTCTTCCAGTGCTTGCTGAAGTTGTTTGCTCACGCGCTTTAGAGAGCATAAAAGATGATTTCCTTGGAAACTCAATGGGGGCATCTCCAAAGAATTTTTTGCACAGGTTTCAGAAGCCCAGAGTGATAGCATCCTCAGACTCCGCTATTTTCATAGAGGAACTTCCTCAAAAATTGGTGGTTAGTAATGCCAAGAACCTTGTTGAAAATATCCGGTCAAGTAACGGAGGGCAAGAAATGATGGAGAATAGTTCAAATAATAGCTGGTGGCTGTCATCTAGACCTCCAAGATTAAAGACCATTGATGGTTCTGAACTGGAATCTTGGATTGGAGAGTACATTCCTACTCATAGATTGCTAATTGATGCTGATAAATTTACCAACTTAAAGTATCAAGGTTGGAAAAATCGTGAAGACAATAGATGGGAAGTTCATTTAAGCCATTCCCAGATGGTAATTTCATTCTCCTCTGGCTACTTTAGCAAAGAATGGGCTGAGGACATATTCGTGATTGTCTTGAATGACACATTGTTCTCGGAGCATTTTAGGTTCACAAATTTGAAATAGGAATGGATTCAATATTGACACAGATGATTTTGAATGTCTATGATGATGATGATAACACATATGATGTAATATTGATTTATTGTCTTAATTTATAGTTATTTTATGTGTTACATACGGTATACTTGCATACACTTTAATATTTTATTATATGTATGTTTTATTTTTTTTTCATATTTTTTCTGCTGGGATTCCAAGCTCTCTTGCAGCTTGCAGGAACGGGGTTGCCTGATTGTACCTCTTACTAATAATGAGTAGGAATTGTTTACTATGAAAGTAATGACTATTCCTTGGGACCTTTTTCTCATGAACAGTTTGTTTCTTTAACTGGTGTTTTGGGATTATCTACTAATTCTTATGTTTTCAGGTTGACTTGGCCTATATTCTGGATATGTACTATGAAGATCGATACACCTTGCCTGGGAAGCATTTCCCCTTCAGGCTAGCGACAAACGTTTCATACACCCCAAAGAGTAAGGTACGTATTTCTTGTGTTATGCGTCTCATGGTAAGTTGTCTTTCAAACTTCAGTGTTTTCAATACTATAGATTGCCAATTTATTTTGTAGCATATAGCTTGGTATGGTTTTAGTTCCAAGTACAGAAGAACAACATTACTGCATGTATTTCAAACAGGTTGTAGCTGCGTCTCTTCTTTCTAGTGAAGGATTGTTTCTTTTTTCATTGGTATGCCTGTTTTATTTGTTTCATGCAGAGGAGTTTGCAGTTATGGAAAGCTCTATCCATTACCTTGGCGGGTGGATTAATTCTAGTTTCCATCAGAATTCTTGCTCAACTTTGTCATCCATTCTTTTGGAGGATTGGGAGTCCTAGAACTGAATCTTATTCAATTCTATCAGACAGTAGTGCTTCCAATGAAACCAAGGTATGCAACTTGTAGGATTGGAGCTCTAGATATCCTTCGGTGTTAAAAGTGCCTTTTTTAGTACGTCAATTGTTTGGATTCTCAATGCATATGGGGGAGTAAGGAGGAATTAGAAACATGGAGATATAAATGGAAAACAGTTGATGAGATTGACGCTCGGCAGTTTAAAGATAACTAGTGTTTCAAATATCTGATCAATCAGGAGGTAAATATGTATTAATTGGAAGTATGAGAGCTAGAAATGTAGAACTCCAAATTGAATAGTAGTAGGACTGATAAGCTATTGTTTTCCTTACATAACTGCGATGATATGGTCTTCTGGACACATTCCCAGATACTTCTGTGGAATGAATCGAAGACATTTAATATAATTCCTTTTGGCAAAATCAACGTAAAAAGTCACAAGCGTATAGTTCAGACGAAAGTTTGCAAGCATATAGAACTCATGATTACACTTTAGACTACGAATAACTAACAATAGAAGAATGGTTATATCATCAGAATTTTTGTGTTACCCTATGGCGATATGATCTATCCATATGGATAAATACATTCTACATATTTGAAACTTCCAATGACGCATGTGCAAGACATGAAACATTACTCCAGTATTTCTGAGTTGTTAGAAATAGGTCGCCTTTGGAAGAATCATCTCATGAAAATGAGGGTTTAAAAATCATGGAATGCAAATACAAAAGATTTTCTTGTTTCGTTCACATGTGACAATTATAAGTTGAGAATGCTTTCATAGTTCGGATGAAATGGAATAGGAATATTCACGAGAGTTGTCATTATCAGGGGAACTCATGCGTAATTTATTAGAACCTTAAAGAACTATGTGGGTACCATTACGAGAATTTGTCCGTTTCTATTTCTTGTCCTAAGTAAATGGTTTTGATTTAGTTTAATAATGTTTCAACTACTAAGAAAAACTGCCTAATGGCATAGTATTTGTTTTTTAAAATGATAGTATATATTTGTTATCTATATTGATGGGTACATGCAAATTCTGTCTTTTGCAGCCAAGTATTATTAGTGAAAATTCTACTAATGAGCTGGAACCTCTGAGTATAATGGTAATTCAAAAGATTAAGGATTCCCTTGAATGGCCTGGGGATATAAATACGGATGGCGATATTGGCACTTGGACTGGAGAAATGCCGAGCCACCTGAGTTCCATCGCTCCAGAATATGTCCTGGAAAGTGAAGCAGACAATGAAGGAATCATAACAACAGATGCTGATCTGGAGAATGCATCAACCCGTATGGACTTATCTGAAAATTCCTCACAAGCCAAGCCAAACCTAGACATCCAAGCATCAAATGCACTTGATATAGCAGCTTATGAGGTAATTTTTATTTCTTAACTCATTAGATTTGTTTCCCTTTTCATATATAATACTTGGTTATGTACAAAGTAAAACAACGTCAGATTTGGTGCTTGTGATGAAGTTTTTAGTTTTCCTTTTTTGTAAACAAGTTGATTTTTGTCGCAGTTGCTAACAGATTGCTTAAGCTGTGGAAAATAGTTGTTGAAAGCAGGAGTGGTGAATCATCACATGCTAGAAGCTCCCCAAGTTGGAAGTGCATTCCATACAACTATTCAATTTATAATAATAATTTTAATTATAGAAATTTTGATAACAATTAGAACTTCCAATAATCCCACAAATACAGTAACAAATGGGCACAAAAATGGGCAATAAAAATTTCTTAATTATTATATAAATTCTATTTAATTAATAAATAATATTTTTAATTCATTTTATGTGTAGTCTAATGTACAAAATACAGTAACATTTATTATGATGAGGAACATCCTGACAACTAATAACAATATAAGGGAGCTGATTTTTTTATTGATAAAATCTGCTTTATTTACAATTTTAACACTTTACAACTTCCAAAAGCATATCAAGCAGCTTCATTTACAGTTTCTATACTTTACAACCTAGGAAAGCATTAGAGAAAGAGAGTATGACTACAATTACTATCCAAATAAATCATCTTCTTAGCCTCTTGTTACCCCTTTGAGCAACTAGGAGCGATGCATAAAATGTGGGGATCGAGGTCCCAAAATTTAAGAATTGAGATCTCATGCAGATCCTTATCCTAGAGCACCAAAGCTAGATCCTAGAGTAGGATCGGCATCTATGTTGGGAGATCTCAATAACTATGTTATGAACCTTCTCTGATCGAACTATTCAGAATTTCGGGTAGATATCACCAAAATCATCACCTTCAAAGCCTTTTCCTAACTAATTGGGGTCGGGCACATGAATCCTGGTTAGCCATTCTGCTCTATTAAGGGTCATACCCTCAGTGAGACCATAAGTCCTAATATATTTTCTCGCAACTTTCAATTATGTCTTTTTTGGCCTAAGCTTTGCCCTTGAGCCTTCCACGTGAACTAATTCGCACCTCCTAATAGGTGTTGTACTGGGTTTGCGCCATGCATTAGCCAGCCCACCAAAGTCTCCTTTATCTCATCTTTCTTGCCTATTGGTGCCACACCTAAATTCTCTTGAATGTATTCATTTTGAATTCTATCCCTTATCTTGCCAGTCATCCATCTGGGTGTCTGTTCAAGTGCACCCATGCTGTGAAGACATCAGGAGCTTGGAAAACATTCAACAAGGTAATGCATTTCTCCCCCTGCATTCGTTTCTTTGCCAAAGTAGGAGATTGTATTAGATTTTGGAGAGACCAGTAAAATTACCCTTGAATCCCCCTTTCCCAAGCCTTTTCTCTATCTCGATTAACGAAGAAGCCACAATCTCCTACACCTATGAAATACCAGGCAGTCCCTAGTTTCCGGAGAAAACTTATGAAAGGGGCAGGGAGATCTCCTCATTGTGATGGGGATCTTCTTGGTTTATACCTTGTGGTAGAGACAGTAGTTCGGTCTCACTCCTGCTGGTAAGTTTTTAGTTTCCTCTTCAATAAAGTCCTATCCCCCTCAAACAGAGCCTCAGCTACTGCTATAAAGGTGTGGATCATCCTTGCCCGCCCATGGTGCAGGCTTTCAGTTGGCTTGAGATTCTAGGTAAAGCACTTTAACTATAGACCACATGCAAGGAGGGAACCCCACTTCCGTATCGCCGATCCATGTGCAAAGAAGAGGAGGTATCACTCAGCCAACTCTTCAGCCACTGTAAGGTTGTTGTACATATATGGCACTTCTTCTTGGACCACTTCAGCCTGTCCTGTGTCATCCCACCTACTACGAATACCGTGTACAAATCCTTTCTTAGGCTTCAACCTATGGCAGACTCACGATAGTTGCTATTCTATGCTCCATCTTGTTGAAACATTACAAACAAATCGTAACGATCGAACCACGGCTGTGATCTTCTCATAGGCTTGTCCCTCGTTGAGGTTTTTGGGCACTCATCTTCAGACCTTGCTAGCCAATGGAGATCTGGACTCCACCCGAGCTTAATGGTCGGACCATAAACTTTGATGGATGCTCATTAAGCAACCCTGGAACATCTACCTTGGCAATTCCATTCTTACTTACTTGGGACCCGTTGGAGTTGACTCAATGTGGCTAAGATTCAGGCTCTCCTTGCAGGTTGAAAGGCTTGCTAGTTCTAGTTGAGGGACACTCAAATGTTATTGTGCGAGTGAGTAGAACATTATTGGGGCATCTATTTTGTTTTGTGATTCTTTTGTCGAGGGTCATTCATTCAGGTCTCCTTCACCCATACCCCAAAAGAGAGGCTAATGCAGTTGCTAACTCCCTCACCAAGAATGGTGTACAGGCTGGGGCCCTTTCCATAATCCAGAATCCCAACTCCCCACCTTATGAACCAGTTACTCTCTCTCTCTTACCCCCCAAAAGCTCCCATTTTTGTAAAGAATTCATCTTTCACTGGCAGCCGCAAATCATTTTTTGCATCTAATCCATCTACAGTCTTGTACATACTTTTTGGTCTAAAACACTACTTCAATAACTTCAAGAAAATTATGGGCCTTCTTTGGTATTAACCGTAATGCAGTGCTTGCTACAATCTTATATCACATAAAAATTGTTTAAAGAACGCTGTCAAATTGAAGCATGTGGACCTCCGTTTACCCAAAAATAATAATAATAATAAAATTCCATAATGTTAATTTCTTTGGTTCTTCAGGGTCCATTAAAAATTTACGTTTTTGCTCTCTACATGCCTTAAATACTAGTCTTCTCCACTTTCTGGATTGTCTTAATCTAGTGCTCAATGCTTCATTTTTTTCCTCAATTAATGTTGTTCATTGGATCTCATTGGTCGTGGATTTATCAAAATATTCATCATTTCCAGGTTATGAAGATTACTTATCTTGACATGAAACAGAACTGCGTTTAAACTGCAGGTAATGCTATCAAGAGAAGGCAAAGTGGTAGGTTTCCAGCCAACAAATCGCCTCGCCGTCAATCACTGGGCTAGCAATCCTTTGGCCAAGTCTCTCTATGGGGAGCGTAAACTCTCACCAGGTATTCGCAGATGTCATTATACCTGATCATTCTTTAATGGGAACATACACCATACTCCATTGGTACCGGATAATCCAAAGGGGCACCCACTGTTCACTCCCAATGACAAATGGTGGAGATTAACTGTACCTGGGTGAACATCGTGGGCAGTCCCACCATGGTTAATAACTAATATTTGGATTCCCCTTTTACTACTATATAAACACACGTCATTGGATTATGATAAGCTTTGCATTGCTAATTGATGACAGTCCACATAAACATCTCTTTGCATGTACCAGGCTTCTGGGAACCCCGTCTCAAGATTCAGCGCCCAGAGAGGTTCATCCTACTGGAGCTGTTGATATCAGTGGATCCTGATTTTCAGTTTGCACTAGCAAGGCCTGTTCAGACCCACACATTATCATAATGGTGATATAACCAAGACCCAACTATTTTGAGATCTTGATGATTAAATATTGCATAAATATGCCAATCTATTTTTTTCAAGTTTCAGATATAGTTGTAACATGGTCAAGGGTCCAAGGCTTTGTTGTCCATTGGTTTGCTTCGTTGTCTTTTTAGTCCTTTGATCTCATCTGAGCTTCAGATACGGTGGTGATATGATCAGGCTTCAAGGCTTTGTTGTCCATTGGTTTGCTGCTGCTTCTTCTTCATCTTGTTCTTCTTCTTTGATCTCATGAGTTCAGATAGAGTGGCAGCATGATCAGGCTTCAAGGCTTTGTTGTCCGCTGGTTTACTTTGTTTCTTTTCCTTGATCTTCTTTGTTGATCCAATCTGTTGTTTGATACTTATTTCCCATTCCTTCTTATGTTTCTGGTAAATTGCCATGGCAGCTCGGGCATCTTCAACCTGCAACCACAATCATCATCAGGTTTCTCTCCCCTTTGCTGGTCATGGAGAATTAGAGCTACCAACAGGTTGGACCAGGCCCAGCCCGAAACTTTTTTGGGCTTGGCACTGCTGTATAATTTTCAGGCTAGTTCCAGGCCTGGCTCGAATGCTTTTGTTGAGGTTGGTGCCCTGCCTGGCACAGATATCATGTATTCTTAATCAAATCATTCTTAATTTCATGTAATCTCGAGCTACAGGCACTCAAAATCAAAGCAAGACATTACCCCAGCAAAGAAGCTATGCTTTAATCACATATTTTTTTAGGTTTACTTAATCTCAGTCAATAAGATGATATGCATCCAAACCAAGACATTGCCCCATGAGTAAAAAGCCTAGCGCAATTCATAGGATTTTACTGGCTTTTGATTCAATGACATTCGGAATCTAGAGCAAGTGTAAAACGTTTGAGTTTGAAAGCTGGGCACATGCCTTTATTTAGGGGGTATTGGGTTTACAGACAAAAATATTGACCTAGAGCAAGTGAACATTGTTCAATTGCATAGGGAAGGGATAATGGGGATCCACATGCCTTTATTTAGGGGGTATTGGGTTGTAGAGAAAAATATAGAGAAAATAGTGCAGTATGATTCAACCAAGCATCAAATTTGCTAGTGACCCAAATAAAGAGAAAAGAGACAAAGACCACTCAATTCAATTTAGGAAAAATATCTCTATACTTCTCATTTTGAAGTTTTATATCCCAATAGACTCAAGATTCAAAACATATATTGGTGATAAAAATTTTAAGTTTTATATCTTTTAACCCTCTAAGCTAATTTTATTTTTTTTTAAACTTAGTTTTTTACCTCAAACAAATATGAAAAAGATATCATTTTTAAACACTATGTTCTCTCTTCATGTGAATTTTCCCCGACTATCTATTTATTTTTCCACTCTCTCCCATATACTTCACTTTATCTCTCCCTGTTAGAGAAATTTGTGGAAAATATATCACGTAAAGAGATGAATGATTTGGAATGAGCATGTTTTTTTTTTATATTTGTTAGGGTTAAAAAAATAGTTAAAAGTAAGTAAAGTTAGTAAAAGGGTTAGGAGATATATTTTGAATCTTTTGGTGTATTGAAATATGAAAATAAAAAATAAAGGATACGAAGATATTTCCCTTTCAATTTAATTCAAGTGGCATTAGATTTCCAAAACCTACATAAGCAACATCCACCGTTAACAAAAAGTAAACCTAGGTTAACCCTTAAGCAAAAAAAACAAGAAATAAACCCAAACATTGTGCGTATGTGTGGGCAAGGTTTGTATAAGGCATCCTCCTTTTGCTATAGAAGTACAAGGCACCTCTAAATTTTACTTGTGGATGAAATTCTGGTGTCGGAAAGCTTATGATTGCTTAGTCTATTTTCATCCCTAGTTATAAAATTTTAAAAATGATATAGATTAAGCACTTGAAAATCTTGAAACAGACAGTTTGGATAACTTGTTACAAGATGCATTAATTTCAAAACTGAAATTCTTTTTTTTTTCAATTAATCATCTTGATCGTTAGAACACCCTATTCTAGATTTTTGGGGTGCACTTTACTAATGGTATATTTATGTATTTTTTTGATGTACATTTTACTTCAATAATATGTTTTAATAAAATATTTTTTAATGCATTTTTAATATCTTGGGTCAATAATCTAAGAAAATGAAGAGAGTGAGGAAGTTGCCACACATAGAATTGGAACTGGGTGGGCAAAGTGGAGATGTGCAACAAGAGTTTTGTGTGATCGTTGCATATCAATGAAGCTAAAAGATGAGTTTTATAGGACAAATGTAAGACTCGTTTTGTTTTATAAGGCAAAATGTTAGACGGTTAAGAAACAATATACCCATAAGATGAGTGTAGTTGAGGATGAATGGCAAGACAAAAAGGCATAAAATTTATCATGAATACATACATGTAAGAAAACGTAAGTGTAGCTCCAATAAGCGATGAGATGAAAAAATTTAGACTTAGGTGGGTTGACGATGTGTACCACAAACCCAATATAGCACATATTAAGAGATGCAAGTTGGTTTCAATGGAAGGTTAAAAAAAAAGTAAGAGATATGCCGAAAAAGAAATGGTTGAAAATAGTGAAAAAATATGGGTCACTGAGGATATGATCCTTGATGGGTAAAGGCTGAAACTCCCACCTCATTTTTGTTATCTCGCCATAACTCTCGAAACTTCTAAGTGTCCAAAATAATAGTTAATTCCAACCAATTAGTGTTTTGGCATTTGAGAGAGAGCTTTGGGTAGGGGCCCAAATCCCCATTCACTTGCTACTTTTAGGAAAGGGGTTGGGGTCGCGGTGTAGCATCCCCACACCCAGTTACCACATCGTGATATCCATTCTCCATTGACTTACCACTTTTAGGAAGGGGCTGGAGTCGAGGTGGTAGCATCCCCACAACCAATTACCACATCGTGGTATCCATTCCTACTGTTGACACCGCCAATTAACACCTTGAAATATAACTCCCTAATCTATTAAAAAAACGGTAAGGCCCGTCTTCCCCATTGAATTCCCAAAAATAACTCAGGACTAAACAATGCATCGAAATCCATAAACTATAACCTTTAAAGGCTATACAAGGCATATATTATAGGAATTGTAGATGTCTATGTTTAATATGAAAGTTTCTTTAAGCAATTGTAATCTAATTATGGACTATAAACTATACCATATATTAGGAGTAAGGACCACAATTTTGGCCTCGGCTCGGCCCAAGCCAAAGGTGGTCCAGCTCAACCCAAAACTAAATCAGGCCTACTTTCCCAAGCGTGCCTGCCCCCGGGCATGAAGCCCAGATCCACAGGCCAAACTAGCCCGTCTGGCAGCCCTCCCAAAACAGGAGAATGCACCTTTTTTTTTGCACAAGCTATGTCACAGAAAATGCATGTCATGTTTACCATCATTCTATCTAATCTTTCTTTTTTCCCCTTAGCACTAGTTTATCTCAGAGTTGCAGGGGGGAGCGAACATCAATTGGTGACTGCGCATGAGATGGCAACAGGATCAGAATGTCGGCCCACCGTGTTGTTTGGTGGTAAATCATAGCGCTTGGAAAGGGGGAAATTTTTTGTTGTACCCTTTCCTTAGGAATATAAGTTGACCAAAATTGAGCGACTTACAAACGTGTACGGAAGACAAAATTATCAGCTATTGAACAAATCTAAGGCCATGATGCATTCATTAGAATTACACACTACAGTTTCTACCACACATACATCTTAAAGTTTCATTCGAATTCTTTTTTTCGGTAAGCAAGATGTCGAATTCATTTGAATATTTTTATGGGGAAATTTGAAAGAGTGAGGTATTCAAAGCGTCAGTTCTAGATGATAGCATTTGCTTCCAAAATAATTTGGTGGATTTTGGTCATTGTGAAACTTTCAATAAGGGTCTCATTCATAAGTTGCAACCTAGATGCAAAAAAGGCAAGACAAATTTACATGAGAGAGAGAGAGAGAGAGAGAGAGAGAGAGAGAGAGAGATAGTAACTGATTTACAGCAACATCTTGGCCCTACAGAACTAAATGCAATCTTGAGAAAAGGCTTACTGGGCAATGCGTGCCTTCTTGGATTTTAACACCGAGATAGAGGTATGCAAGATTGCGTAAAGCAGTTGGCTTTCCATCCCTGATTAAAGTAATTTTGAATAACGAAGAAAGTAGCATCAGTTGTTACAACAGAAGAATGAGAATGTACAGCTTTTAACACCTTTTTGCATCAAGAGGGTAGTAGACTAAGATACCTTTTGAAAGGCATGTATTCAGATGTATCCCTTCTGTCCTTTCTAGGATGATTCAGCAGCAGTGTCTGTAATATATAGAATAATAACCTGGTGAAATGCTGAAGTATATCTGCTCAATAACAATGAATAAGAAAAAACTTTTTGTACCTTAAGATCGAGCCACAAAGAATGACCAACAATAATCCTTCCCTTCATTAAATCTGAGACATGGTTTTGAACCGTCGAGAAGTCCTGCGCTGCAGATATAGCCATTGACAAAGATAACCATTAATTCAAAAGGAAACCTTCTAGTTCAACACCATCAATAGTGATATTGCTTTAGTCAAGACTAGACAACTTAAAACTTCGATGAGAGAGGCACCAAACCATCAAGAACTATATTAGAAATCAACTACTAACCTTCCATCAAGTTACGGGGTCGAATTCCACTCATTTCAGATCGGAAGTCAACAACAGGCTCTACTGGCCTGACAAATTCATCATATATGACGTTCCCCCAAGTGTTTACCTATTATTGAAAAAAAAATGTTAATAGAAACAAATAAAATGCCCCTATAGCATACTTCTTGTAAAAAATTGCACACCAACCAAAAAGGACCCTTTCGTGAAAGAAAGTTTAATCACACCCCAGCTAGCTTGTCAAATCAGAAAAATAGGCAATGCAAAACACCAGTTCAAATTTCCAGACTGAATGGAAGAAGTTTGCAACAAAACTAGACACTTGTGCTCTACAGGGATCTTCGACTATCAAAAGTGTGGAGCACTTAATATGTTCTCCCATAGATAGGGCAGGTAGCTTTCAGTTCCCTTTCCTGTAACTGTTCAAAGCTCCAGAAGGGGTAAGTATAGGCAGGGGCATGGGCAGCAATCAGGCACATAGAAGAACCATTTGAAAGAAGGACAAAAAGAACAAGTCTTAATATTCAGTTCCAACAACATATGACCGTGATAAGGAACTCTTTGTCAAAACTACTAGATTTTCCAAATAAATTAAACAGTAAAGAAGGGAGTGATCAATGTGTTTTCCCACTTTTTTGGCATTATTCCCACAGTCAACAAGCTATCCACTCAATCAAGAAAATCCCTTTCAGCAATAATAATAGGGGGGAAAAAATCAAATTCCTTTTTAGCCTTGTAAGGTTTGGCAACTGCATTTTTCTTGATTCTTGAAGTGCTAGAGTACATATTGACTTCAGAATCTGATCGTCGTTAATGGCAGCTGAATGTGTGTCTTGGCTACAGAAGTATATGACATGTTTACCTACTAGTGTAATATGACTTATAACTCTAAAGTCTTGACACACATGCACACAGACACATAGGTGAGCAGGCATGCACATGCCAATGATCCATTTCTCTAAAAGGGCCCACTCTAATGAACTCGAGCATCATTTCAACAATTCAGAGCCGGAGAAAAAACAGAGTGACTTTTAGGCCACCAACATGCTTCTTGCTTTTGCCTGGATGGAATTACAAATGCCCACAAACTCTCCCCTTGAGGTTTCTGCAAATGTTTGATCTATTCTCTAATTAAGAGCTTTACAAAACCCGTACCAGTTTGTCGCATAAGGCATTCAATCTCTAGCTAGAACTGGGACTACAATCTAACAGCTTCCATTCATGAATTGAGTCCTCTACTCCAAAAACCAGACAAATTTTTGGGCTAAGTGCCCACATCACATCTCCAAAGCACTAGGTCTCAAATTTGGTGAAAGGTCAGACAGGTCACTGATTCTCTGTGATGACGCCTGAAGGAACTTGTGCAATCCCATTGTTTCTTGGATCCTAAAGATAGTCAGGGGATCTATCTTCTAGAGTAATGTGATCTCCTTCATGCAATGTTGCACAGAACCAATTGCTGGTGAGACCTTCCACCAAACCAAGCATAAGCAAAGAAACCTCAAACAAGTTCGGGATGAAATCACTTATCAGCAAGCTATTACTATGAATTCCTTACATTCCTCATTTGAAGCGAGGGCACCAATTACCCGATCCACACTCCTCTTCCACAGTGCCAATCAGCACCACTACTCTCCATACAAGCCCTGTTCTTTATCTCAGAAAGTGTAAACTGAACCAGATTTTGAGGGCGGAGTCACAACTATGATTTATTATAGCAAAAACGAGATCCCCAAGAGCTCCAGTTACGTATAAAGTAGTTTGTAAATTACTGCCTGTTTTACCTGCCCCCAAATCTGAAACGAATCTACAATGCACAATATTAGAAAAAATCACTAATTAAAACTTGAAGTTACAAAATTATATGCTGAGGTGCAACGCCATTGATGATCAACAGAACCTTCATGCTTTGTCTCTACAACAGTTCTACCATAGATATAGACATGGCTTTTATGAAACAAAAATTATGACAAAGTAGACATGTTCCAATTTATGGGATGCAAAATATGTGTAAATTATGCATGTGCATTTGTGTCCTAACTTTTACATGAGATCGGCAAAGAAGGTTCATACAACTTGATGAGGAATATCCAGACAAAAAATACTCGAAAGAACATCACTGTCTAATGCAAGATCCAGACGAAAGATTAAGATACCATTGTCCATATTCGACAAGCAAAATCATCACGCAGTTTTGATAATAAATGAAAAAATAAACAAATTTGATTGAACAAAACTAATGCCATGTAGCAGTAATGAGCAAAGGTGAGCACCAGTGTCACCCTTGCAAGTGCACTTCTTGTTCCATGGGAGCTGACACCAACCATCTTGCACTCTATGGCTATTGTATCCGTCACACTGGCATGGAATGTACAATATCAAGGCCCTTGGATTTCAATATAAAATATATAATCAGAGTTAAGTCCCAATATACAAGCATTGAAATTATTTTATCAAAGGAAAAGTGCATGTGATTAGTAAATCAAGTTTGGAAGCTTCATAGCAACATTAAATGGTAAGGCACAAAAGAAAATCAAAATTTACAGAATAATTGACTTTTGTTTTAAGAAAAATTAGATTCACAAAATTGCATAGTAGAATCTATGGCCACACATGACAGGGCCAAAAACCAAAATTTGTACAATAGAAGAAAGTACAAATGTCTTGGTTGGCAAAGGCATGTCAAATAGGGCTCTTAACAGGCCGGGCAGGCCTGGCTGTTCGGCTAGATTATATATATATATATATAGCTCCAATAGGCGATAAGATGAGAGAAAGTAGACTTAGGTGGGCTGCCCTTGAGCAGCGGAGACCTAGTACATTACAAGTTGCGAGTTAATTCAAGTGGAAAGCTCAAAAAGGGTATGGAGTAGGTCCAAAAGGACATGGTTGGAAGTAGTGAGAAAAGATATGGGGACTTATGGCCTCACTGAGGGTATGGTCCTTGATAGAGCATAATGGCGCACTGAGATTAGTATAGCCAACCCAAACAATTGGGAAAAGGCACTGATGATGATGATGATGATATATATATATATATATAGCCCCATTTTCTTTCTTATTAAATTTCATTACTTTAAAATTTAAAATTAATAAACTAAATGTAAGGTTAACAAAACAATTCAAAGAAGTACAATTAGCATAGCCAATTTGAATTGAAATTAAAAAAACTGAATTTACACCTAAAAAAACCAAATTAATTAACCCATATGAATTTTAAAGTACAACAAAAAAAAAAAAAAACTCAAACCCAAATACCTAATCCCACCCTTCTGTCAGGCCAAGCCAAGCCCAAACTAAATAGGATTTTTTGGGCCGTGCTCGGTTCTAGCCCTAGAAAAGTACAACAGGCCTGGGCCAAGTCTGAACATTTTGGGCTTGGCTCAGGTTGGGACAGGCCCAGCCCTAATTATAAAATTGTTGTTGGAAGCCCCAAACTTCGTAGGGTTTTTTGGGCTGGTCTCTGGCCTTGCCCCAGAAAAGTACAGGCCCGGGCCAAGCCTGAAAATTTGGGGATGGGCTTAGGTTGGGTCAGGCCTAGCCTATTAACAACCCTAATTACCAAATTAATGCTGGCAGCCCCTTACCTTGCTAAGGCATCAGCAACAGAATTTCCCTCACACTATGGATGTCTTGACAAGGCCAAAAATAAATTTTGGATAATAGAAGGTAGAAAAATTGTCCTGGTTAGAGAAGGCCTGTTAATTACTAAGACGTGATGAGTACGCAAACAAAGATACCTTGTACCATGAATGTTGTTTGAGACTTGTAAGTTGCTGAAATTCACAAAAATTTGGTCTAACAATTGTTTCAAGTACCAGGAACAAGGGCCTCCCTTCCACCTAAAGGGAGTGGCCCCAACTGTAATCAAACAGTTTAAGAGCCTCAAACAGAGCCATTACCTCTACCTTTACGGAATCTGTGATCCCAAGGAAGCCTAAGTAAGAGAGTTTATAATCCGGCACAGAGCCTCTAAAGATGACCCCAATCTGGATTGCCTAAAGAACAACCATCACAAGCAAGTTTGATGACTGCCGGGAGAGTGGGGTGACCGGATGTTAGATCTAGAAATATCCATTGAACTAGCACCTTAGATAATACACCTAATTTGAATCAACCTAGCACCCAGAACAGCTTCCAAAATAAGAAACTGAAGAAGTTGTTCCCCACAACAAGTCCCATACAAGAAAATTAATATTTTCAAACTAGCTTCTTAGGTGATCCACTCTCAACAGTGGTATACCCAAAAACAAATAAAAAGGAAATGCTATCTTAAAAGAAACAATGTTGTTTCTTCAAGCAAGAGACAAATATCGCAATTAATTAACCTCTATGAAGTTTCGACTTAAAAAAAGAAGTCAAACCTCTTTCATTGGGCAAGTTGGGCCAAGGTTTTCTCTGGTTTTTCTCGGCTGGGCTTCGGCATAGCCAGGGAGAAATATTATGGGCGTGGGCTGAGCCCAAACATTTTGCCAGAACCGGCCCTAGTTACGAGGTTGTTGCTGGCAGCCCCTTCCTTCGCTAAGGCATCACCAGCCGAATTCACCTTGCACTATGAATACTTTGACAGGGCAAAAAGCCAAAATTTATATGCTAAAAGGTCGAAAAAATGTCCTGGTTAGAGAAGGCATGTTATTTAAAAAGTTGTTGCTAGAAGCCCCCTACTTTGCTAAGGCAGAGCAAATGAATACGCCTCGCGCCATGATTGTCTGAATGAGACATGTAGATTGCTGAAATTCACAAAAATTTGCTCTAACAATTACTGCAAGTACCAGGAGCAAGAGCTCCCCTTGAAAAGGTAAAAGAGAGCTAGCCAATTTGGCCTGTAGGGTGAACTACGACAATGTTCCTAATGCATGCATATGTAGATGTTTGCAATGTTAAGCATTAAGCCAATTCTAATATGTGGCCATTAGTCCCATTTGAATGCTCTGTTATATCACCCAGCTCCTCGTAATGAAAGAGACCAAACACAGCTAAGGTTGTTCCTCTCATTATGACAGTGTTTGCAAATTGCATATGTGATCATGGTCTTTCCTTTTTAGTATGTAAGTCATGTTTAGTATCCAAATAGGTTTCTTTTTCTGGTAGTTTTACAGTAGGATTTGAACTTGGGATGTAGTTAAATTGCTTTTCTCATCACATAGTATTGCTCTTCTCAAAAAGTTATTAAATATTCTTTGAACTTGGCCAAAGTTTTTTTTGAGCATGTTAACATTGTACGAATAGAAAAAGGTACAAGGTATCAAAAAATAGGCTATCCACAGGGCAGAAGCTCTATATACAAAAAAGGCACCTTCCCAATAGGGGTGTGCTCTACAAGCAAACTATAGGCCATTCTTACCTGGTTTATTACATAACACTGTCTAAAAAGAGGCCATAAAAAATGTGCCATCCAAAATAGGGTTTGGTGGGTTGTCCAGTGGTGATGACGTGGCCTCCTTATCGAGGGTAATGGCTTCCTAATTTGATTCCCACCAAATATGCCTCCATGAGACGAGTATATCCCTGCATAGGTGCACGATTTCATCAAATTTATAAGCCAGAGACCAAGGATAGGGAGAAGAGTTTGACGCCCAACCAATAACATTCTTTGAGTCTCCCTCAATGATGATCAAGGCATTCCTGTGAGGGTTGAGAAGCTTGACCCCCTCAAGTGACGCCCAAGCTTCAGCTGTCATTGAGTCAGAGTGGGCCATGTTTTTAGATATGGAAACGAGGGTGGACCTGCTGTGGTCCCTGAGAAAGGCCCCAATTCCCCAGGGTCCAGGGTTGCCCAGGAAGCAGCCATCGAAGTTGAACGCTATTTGTCCGGCTCAGGAGGTCTCCAAAGGGAACCCCGAGATAAGGGATAGTGTCTAAAGAGAAGAATGGCTTCCCAATCTTGAAAGAAAGCAGAATGGAGTACACCTTTTGAAGTTCTTGTGGTTCGTAGCCCAGAAAACAACCCAAGATTTGATCTTGGCGAAAAGAGCAAACACCGAGGTGCGTTCTCCCTGGAAGATCCTATCATTGCGCTCGATCCACAAGGCCCAAATAGTGGCTGCACCAAGGCCTTTCCATAGTAAAGTGCCAGATTTAGGCCAGGGAATGGGTGGAGAGAGTTTAGGAGCTGAGTTACAGTAGCCAGTATGACCCATTGGCATTTAAAGAGGAGAAGGATCTTTCCCCAGACCTTGTGGACGAAAGGGCAGTGGAGGAAAAGATGGGCATTGCTTTCCTCATCCGCAATGCAAAGCATGCATCTATTGGGGAGGAGGATGCCTCTTCTCTGAAGATGGTCCACAGTGGGCACCCTCTGGAAGAGGGCCAGCCACATGAAGATCTGAATTTTGGGAGGGGCGAAGGAAGACCAAACTTGGGCTGCAGGGGATGAGGGTGAAAGAGGGAAGGTGGGTGGCTAGAGAAGTTTGTGGTAGAACGAGGAGACTGAGAAACTACCAAAGGGGCTTAGGGTCCAGATTATGAGGGCCAAAGTTAAGCTTATGATTATTTCACTGTAAATTTCTTTCATCCAATTGATTGGTAGGAATCATTTAGAAATGAAACTGTGAATTAAAAAGATTTAGCCATATGTAATGCTGTTCAATTCTTGGTCCTTGAAATGCAACAGAGACTTTGTAACATTGAGCGTGTAAGGAAACTAAGCTTATGAACATCATTCGAATGTATGTATGAATGAAAAATCGAGAAGATTAACCAAAAAAAAAAAGAACTTGCAATTTGGTTCAAAATAGAAGGGGAAGCTTACATGTCAAGCTTCATTGGCTCTATGATAAAATCAGAAACTGAAGAAAATCACCTTCATACTCTATATTCAAAACCCTATGCCATGCCCCTTTTATAGAGATGCCCTTAATTCTACTTTGAATCAAAATAGAACTTTTTATTGTAATTGGACTCAAAATGATACCTTTGCCCTAAATTAAAGAGGAATCGAGACTAAAATGGAATTCCTAATCATGAACAAACAACCTTGCAAGTAGGTGATTATTCTACCCTTAAAACAAAATACTGCAACTTCCAAAGGGTATAACTTCTGGATCTGGTATTGAAATTGCAATTAAATGGCAGCATAAGTCCTATAATGCCAAAACCACTTCAGCAAGTTTTGCTCAGCGAAGTTGGCCAAAAACCACCTCTGAAGCCTGGCAATTTTTTCCGAAAATTGCTACAGAAATTCACCTACACAACGTATTTACCGAATGCTGATTTGCATACATTAAATGTTGTTTAGGCATTTTGTAAGTGAACCGAATTGCAAAAATATCTGAAATAAATTAGTGTTAAGCACGAATGAGATGTATTCTACATTAAATAGAACCAGTCCTGCAATGGAAAGCAAGCACAAAAATTCATAACAAGAAGAGTGCCTGCAATCAGAATTCATGGGAGCAAAAGTAGCTGATGGAGCATGAGAATCCTCATCCTCTGATCTCTGCGTACTCCTTCCTACCATCAATCAAACCAACATTCACCAGGAAAAAAATCAGAGTCTTGGATGCCATTTTTCAGAGGAATGAATGGCGCGAATTTATCAATCATATTTACCTTTAAGTTCTATATCATTTTCGTGGGCAGCTTCCAACATTGAGATTTCAATAGGGCCCTTCATTTGCTTCTCCTCACCCTCTTTCTCCACAAAAGTCGCGACGATTCTTTTATGTACAAAACCGCCAAACAATTGCATGCCTTTAGTGCATGAACAAAACGACACACAAACAGCAAATCTTAAGTTGACAGGAAGTGTCATTATAACATAGAATAATATAATGAAATAGAAAAATGCAGTATTTGATCTACAAAATGAAAAGACAAATGAGAAATAGAACTAAACATTGGATTTATCGAGATCCATCTACAAGAGAGTATGATTATGCATATTTTTTGAACCAAAATAGTTCACTTATTTACTTTTTCAATGCATGACAACACTGGTGTGCAAGTGTGCAATTTTAACTAAAGGGCACTTCGCTTGTAACAGCCTATACATACAGCAAGACCACCCCCCTAACAACTATATATTGTTAGCTTAATTCATCTTATTTTTATTCCATTACGGAAAACTTAAATAGATTTGGGACTCTCATTACATATCCCAAAGCAACAATCAATTGCAAAACATTTTTGGACTTCTGAAAATTTCTATTTTCAGATATTTTAGTGAATGGCATGATTGGATGCGGAGTTTCATGCCCAAAGGTACCTAAAAGTGTTAATCATCTTTAACAGCCTAACGGACTGCCCTTAAATTCCATTATCCTACTCTCTTCCCAATTTTCTCTCAACCCACTTTCTAAATGTGACATCTCATCCTCAATAAAATAAGAAAAGTATTTGCATAATATATCTTATCTCTCTGAAACCAAACACAAAAATCTATTTAAGTCTGGTTGCCACTGCAATGCACTGAATGAAACAACGTAACACATGGGAGATTTGATATGATACTTATTTTGGTTAAAATATGACAAAAAAATGAACAGTTTTTTTTTGGTTATTTGAAAAATTAAATGAACATAATATTTTGGGAAGCTTAAGTATTGTCATATTGCAGTACTCCATTAAGAGGCCAAAAGTCATAGAAACCTCCACCAATACGATGAAGGATGGAGCTTCATTGGTCAAAAGTTATTATGTCTTAGGCTTCTTTGCTGGTGTGGGAGTAAATTTCCAAGTCTCAGTAGCTACTTTTGAAACATTAACTACAAAGTAAACTATAGAAAAATGAATGCTATATTAGGCTAGCTCATACAATATTTTATCAAATTATATATATATATATATATATATGTGTATTTTTTTTTCCAATAAAACTCAAGGGAGTGAACCAAATTAGATCAGGGTTTCCTTTGTTTGGCTGTTTGAGGTGACCATCTAGGGAGACTTATGTAGCAAGTCCATCAACAAACACAAGCAATGGTGCTTGGGTTGCTAACTGTTAAAGACTACCATCAATTAGAAACCATCATCAATGGAAAACAAGCTTCCAGTTCCCCAACTCGTATGAATTCTTGGAAGGACAAGGACATAAATAGTAAAGTGTCTAATAATATATTGGCAGTTTTTGAAGGAGGATGGGATTGCTTCAAGATTTTTAGTATTGCTGTCCTCCAGTCCCTCAAAGGTTCCATTCCTTTATGATCTGGGGTCCAATTTTGGAGTAGAAGGAGAAAGATTGTGGCATCTAAACGTGGACCTTATTGACAATCTTCTGGGTACTTTGAAGTTTGATTAGAGCATGAACACGGAATCATTGTTACAGAGATATGTTTCTGATAATGAAGTTTGCAGAATTAGGGCAGGTATAGGAGTGGTGAAAGATTGCTTCAAGATGAATCTTCTCTTCTCAATATACAAGAGTTCAAACAGCTAAGAGTTCGGACTCACCTTTATTGGCTATGTGGCCCTTCAAGGCCTTAGAGCCAATAGTCTTATGCTCAGTGGGAGTTAGAGAGAGGCTGAATCTGGGTGCTTGGCGCGTTGGGTCCCAGATTCATATACCTCGAGTATTTGAGGCATTGAGAGTATACGTTTTGAGAGTGTGAACTCTCGAGACGGTGTGAGTGTCACCTCCCAGTCAGGACTATATTGATTAGAATGCCTCATAGTTGATGCGATAAGCCAGGGCTTGGAGAATCCAATCGAGAATAATAGAACCCGAGTACTTAAAAGAGTATTCGCCCTGTATGGAATGGTCGGCTCATAGGACATGAGCTCGTATCCTGACACGAGACCGTTCCATGGCATATGCACCCACAATCGTATGGGGAAGCCACTCCTCTATAGTATTATCCGAGTTAGAAGAGCTCCCTATATTTGAGTAGGAACATGTCCTACTGGGGTACACCAGTAATCCATTGAACCCTAGGTGACGGGAAGCTCTGGCTCAGCGACTTTGATGTGACCAATTATGTGTCCCTACCATAGACTGTGGAGCATAGGTCCATTGGGTCGGCTTGAAACACTGGTGGAACGTCATTCGGGTTAGCCCAATGGAAGACTCTGACTAGTGTTATAAGTCTAGAGATCTCATTTACCTTTGACCCAAATTAATCTAAAATTGATGAGAAAAAGTTTTTATATTGATGAGAAATTGTGTAATAATGTTTAGAAATCATTTAGAGAATTTTTTAGATTTTTGAAGAATTTTTCAGATTTTTTTAAACAATAAAAATATGATTTTCAAATTTGTTTGACATAAATACCAAAAAAGGAGATTCTATGAGGATGCCACATGGATCACAAGTGGCCATATGGATGCCACGAGGCACCCCCACCTCCCTACTCGTGGATGACATCATGTTGACATCATATCCATGTGGGGACCTATTTGTCATTAATTCTTTTGTTGGTATTATGTTATCACATGTTATCTTGTTATTTAAAGTGTTATATATTGTTGACTTAAATTTGATTCAAGTCACATTTGTTTTTGCTCATATGTGCCATTTTTGGCATGTGTGAAGTCATGGGATTTTGAGAATTAATTTAATTCATATTATTATCCACATGATTTTGTAGCATGTGGGTATATCTTATGTGGCACCACATTATAGGCTTGACCCATGTGAAACTTTAGTGTTGTTAAAATCCTATTGGTGGTGTCATAAGATATTTTTTTCATATGTGTGGATATCCCATATTATCTTTATGTCCATGTCCTTGTATTTTATTGACTCTCACAAATTATTCAAAAACCATGGGCATAAGTGTAAACATGAATTTGGACTTAATGAGAAATAAAACATGGAGCTAATGGCTTCAAAGTAAAATGACTATAAACCTAGGTTTTAAGGAGTGAAGGGTGTCAAAAGCTCATCCATTGATCTTGGTGATAAGATATGGATGAGTGGCTTGGATAAAAGCCTTTCATGTGCCATTGATCTAAGGCATCAAGGATCACGATCAAATCCATCTTAATGCTGATCTAAGTATAAAAGTAACTTATGAGATCAATTCTAACCTTAACTTGAGTATTCACTTCAAAGAGAGAGAGAGCCCCCTTAACAAAAATGTGGCCACCCATGAGACTATCTTCTTCCTTGAGCTTTCGTTTGAAACCCTTCCATGTAGTAGTCCCTCATTTATGTGATCAAGCCCATACTATTGCTTTATTAAGGTATTGATTTTTCTTCGTATATTTTTAATTCCTACCTCATTTCCATTATCAAAACTTGCTGTAATTCTTAATTTACAGTGGCTTTCTTCATTTTTGGTCATAAAACTTGATATTTGAAGAGTCCCAAAGCAATAGTGTAGTCCATACACATAGTATGTCTAGACAAACTTGCTTACTCCATGATCTTGAGTAGTTTCAACTTGATTTTCTTGATCTTATTTTTCTTGAATTTTTACTGAGAATATACAACTGATGAGAGGTTTATTTCATCATATTTGAGCATAAGAAATAGTGAGCATAAGAAATAGTCCGTTGAGCACCTTTTTTAATGTTGAAAAGTTTGTGTGGTCCCTTATGGACCACATGGTGTAGTTTCACCATAACTTTCTTATTTTATGTAGTATCTCTCTCTAACTTTGAAGGGCTATTTTGATACATGTCTCTCTCATGATTTGATCCCCATTAAGTGAAATAAAAGTGTTCATTTGCTTCCCATTAGATTGATCTCCTTGAGTTATTATTATCACCCGTGTCTTAGAAAATGGGACAAAATTAAGTCCTCAAAAAGCCCTTTCGTGGTGTAAAATAGAAAATTTTTAAAAGATTGCCTTTCTGACCCATTGGTCTTATACCACCAACAACCTTGACACTCGAAAAAAAAGGGATATGCACAATAGAAGTGGTGTAAAATTTGTCCACCAATCTTGGTCATCCAGATCGAATCTTTTCCATTGGCCGCTCAGCCCATACTATTCTATTGTAAAGTCCAGTGATGAAGGTAGACAACCCATGTTAACAAGAGAATGTGTAACAGGTAAGCAGATGTCAAACTCTAGTGCAAGATAGCCCAGTCAGAAGATATAATTGAATTAGACACCCAGTTGAAAAATGGGTTAGTTATGAAGCATTCACCCTTCAACATTACGTGATTATGATAAAGATACAACCCTACCAGTTATTTAGAGGCAAGAAAACATTATAGGTGCATAAAAGCTATGAATTAGGAGACATGGGCTCTTCATGTGTGTCCATACATGGAGAGAGTGAACAGACCAATCCTTGAAAATGTGGATGGTTTCAAATGAGCATTTAAAATGAAGCAAAAAGCATATGGAAGTATTAAAAGTTCAAAGCTTGTCTTTTAGCGGAAGGATATGTGAAGGAGCATGGATTAGACAATGACAAGACCTTTAGACCTGTAGTCAGACTAGACTCCTTCTTTCCCTTGTCCTGACACATAGTTGGCGATTACATCAAGTAGAAGTGCAGAATGGTATTCTCCATTGTGGCCTGAAGGAAGAAGTATACATGGAGCAGCTGCCTGGTTATAGTGAGGGAGAACCACAGTTGAAGGTGTGTAAGTTGAAATAAGCAATATATGGAATGAAACAAGCATCACAACATGGCTGTAAGGATTGTTAAAGGAGATCGCGTTATGTGGTTTTCAAAGAAGTCATATTGAATAGTCAGTTTTCATTAACATTAGGAAATATGGAACAAGAATAGTACTTATATGTGTTGATGACATTGTGATAATGAGAAATTCAGAGAAACACAAAAGAGAAGTTAAAGGTCTACTCCAGCAGAAATTTCAGGTGAAAGATTTTGGAGAATTAAAGTATTTCCAGGGCGTAGAAGTGGACAGAAGAGCAGACTGATTGATGTGACATACCAAAGTTTGCACTGGACCTGGTATTAATAGAACTGGGATGAAAGAATGTAAAGCTCCAATTTTTGCTCCTAATTCCTATAACTCAGAAACTAAAGGAAGAAGAGGGTGAACTTTATGGCAATTCAAGACGAAATCGCAGCATTGTTGGATTTTTGCAATACCTCATGGCCAGATATTGTATTTGCCGTAAATCATGTATTGCATTATGCATGAACTAAGAGGGGTAGCCAAATGAATAGTTAGCTAAATAAAAGTTACGGCCAGTGAGGGACTGGTATACACCTTAGGTATGTTATCAAAGACAGATACTCTAGTTGTACTAGCTTATTCGAATGCAGATTCGGAAGGAGATCATGATAAAAGGAGGCCCATAACTGGATACTATGTATTTCATGGTAGGAATCTTAGCTCTTCAAGCACTAGAAAGAAAGGACTGCTGTATGCTCAAGTACTAAAGCAAAATATAGATCAATGGCTGTTGTTACATTGAAAATTGTATCGATTTGCCATCTTACTTCACTTGACCAAAACTTCTCAACGTCAATATCATGTTGTGACAACCAAAGCGCAATACACATGTCATTGAATCCAGTGCATCATGGGATGACAAAACTTATAGAAATAGATCAACATTTTGTTTGAGAGAAAAGACCAAGAAATTGAAGCTGAGTTTCTTGGGACCGAAAATTAGATTGTTTATATCTTGACTAAGGCATTGATGAAGATCAGACATTGGTTTCTTAAGGCCAAGCTGTCCATGTTTCAAACAAGCATACAACTTGAGAGGGGCTAATAGAAAGCGAATTGCAGGAGCATTGTAGGGGCAGGGTTGTAATTTTGAAGTGCAGGAGCAGCGTTATAATTTTTGAATTGTAAAGGATTGTATAAAGTGAGATAAATAGAATCCCTCCAATTTTAAAAGTTGTAGAATGGGTTGCTCTCTCTCTCTCTTCAAATTTCATTTTTCACACATCCGATTTTCGACAACCCTCAGAAAAAATACCACATACGTAAATTTTTAGTTTTATAGAAGGTTAATTATTAAAACAAAAAAAAGAATGCCTTTGTCTTTCTCAAATTTGGTAATGATTCTTCCAACTTGGACAGTTCACGTCATCTACCCATCTTTGTTTCCTTTCTCAACAACTCTGTTATATGCAAACACAATTGTTCACACTATGCTTAAACATAGTGATGCAACAATACTAAATATAATGCCAAACAATACTTAAAACCTATGAATTGTTCAATTTGTAGCAATATCATATATGCAACATAACTCAGAACAACGTATGAGAAACCATCAATTCATTTTATTGACATACTAGTAGCAGACATTCTCCTTGCGACTTCCCAGAGTTTAAAAGTCCACATTGTGAAACCCAAAAATGACCTTTTCAATCTAAGGGGAGGTTTTCAAGGGTGAGCCACCATTCACAGACATCCCAATGGCTAAAAGAACTCCAAAAATACCAATATGTAGGCCCAACTTCAATGGTCCCTCAATGTTCACACAAAAACTCTCCCTCCTTTTGGAAATTGAAGTAGAAGAAATGGAAAAACCAACCTTTTCTTGGTAAGATTCACCGGTACAACTCCTCCCCCTCTCCACGACTTCTCCAACCTCCTTTTGTCGGTCACAACACGAGGTATCCCGTGTAGCTTTGGCTCTAATCAATATCACACTAGGCTTTTCGTTTGAAGAATCAAATCATATACAAGATCTTTTTATCTGAAAACCTTTCTCACTACTCATCTATTAGTTTCGTAGTGTTGGCTGGCCCTTTTCTTGCAAATGTCAACAACATTTTTTTTCTTAAAAAATTAAATGATCCTATAAAGAAGTAATGCATTACCATCTGAAAATATTCACTAGAATCTTTAAAAACTTCAACAATAGATCTTTTAAGATTTAACTCATAACATCATCCATGTAAACCAGGTTTCCTACTAGCTGATTTGTTACTGCATCTAAATGCCCAGTCCCACCCAACTATTCTAGGACCCTAACTAATGATAAAAGGCATCCTCAAAGTATGTACATAACCTCTAGGAACATATATTCTCCAATCTAAGCTACATCCCAACATTTTTCTGAACCCTATGACTTAGTAAAATGTGCTTCCTACCTGAGGGCTCTATCAAGTTCCACTTTAGTGAAACTTGATCACAACCCCATGCCCACTGATTGAGGTGTTCTTTTGCAGGGATGCATTGAGAGAACTTTTAGAGCCTAGTTCAGCCCACTTGAGAATTGTAGGACTGAATAATTCATCCTCTATTCCTGGCATTTACATGTACTCAGTCCCACAATTCTACAATCATTGGCATCAAGAACAGGATCAAGGGCGGGATCAGAATCAGGAGCAGGGGTTCACGAAAGGCTAGAAAATTCCTACAGTTGGGAGCAGGGATCGAGATCCCCAAAGTTAAGGATGTCAATCCCAACCTGTGACGATCTTGATCCTTACACTTAGGGATTGAAATCTACAAATGACAGGGATCTTGATCCTAACCTTTTGGGGATCTCAATCCCAACATTTTGGATATCTCGCTCCCAACCTTAAAGAATTATATAGTCTAAAACTACGTATACTATATAAAGCAGGGACCTCTTTATTTATAGCCAACAAGCAATTCAATTATATTAAAAGTATAGCTGCATTAACAGTGAGGTGTAAATAAAGAAATCATCAACTTGATTGTTATCTTGATCTTTAAGATGGGGACCAAGATCCCTAACAATGCAGATCGAGATCCCAAAATTTAAAAGTTCAGCATATGCATATCTTTCTTACCTATTGGTTGAGAAGCCAGTAACTTAATTGACTCCTTGCTAAGAAGGGTACCAATAGGCTCAATCTGGTGGCTTGGGGATTCAATCCTCTCAACATAATGGGGTGGTTGACTTCAACCATGCACCCTCAAGTGATTTTTTTTTTTGAGAGAGGTGATGATTTAAATAACTATAAGAAGACTAAAATCTAGTTAAACAAAAGAAACGGACGCACAGACATCAGTAGACAATGGGGATATCATATTTAAGAGTAACATCAGGCCTCTAGACTGGTCCCCTCCTTGGAAAGACTGTCCACAATGTTGTTATCCTCTCAAATAAATGTGATTGTTATTGGTTACATATCATTTCGTTCTATATAATACGCAATTTGTTCAGCACACATGTGAATGAACTATGAACACATCAAAATGGAAAAGAACCTAAGATGTCCATCACAAAGAAGAAAAGGAGTAGAGTTTCCTAATGCATGGTAAATCAGAATCACTGGCTAATAGGGTATGTAAAGGTTTTAAAGACAAAATCAAGAAGAATAGATCGCAAAAGTATAACAGTCAATATCCAGGGAGATAAGACCATCTTTTTCCAACCACTTCAAATAATAGTTATAATAAATGGGTACCAATTTGTCCACAAATACCTGGCCTTTAACAAAGCCACAAGATGCTTTTTATGATTACATAACCATGGTTTCTTCATGTAAGAAAAAGATGATCTCAATTCATTTATAGCCATTCACAACATTGGAAAGATTAAGTCAGAGACTCACTTTTCCTTTTCATTCATTTCATCACCAGCGCCAGCTGCAGATGTTGAAAAATGATGTCTCTGCAGAAAAACTACATAAGATCATTTCAGCTAAAAAGTTTTAAGAAAACTTTGCCAAAAGAAAAAACATTTTCAGAAAAGATCCACTCCCTATGCATTCCAAATATACATGTCTCTGTGTGTAGTTGTTGTTCATATAGACACAAATGTCCATGTAATGTCAAATGATAAAAATAGTATCTATAATATAACACCACGGTGGTATTAATGAAATGCTCTTTTGTTTAAACCAAAAAAGAACAGCAACTAGCATGGAAAAATCTAAATGATTCATAAAATTTTAAAGAAATCACAAAGTGACCTATCTTTTCGCAATTTAACTTCCTGATCATATGATAAATTAAGCGACGAAAGAAAAACAGGACAACACCATTTGTGATGGGAACTTGATAATATAAGCTTTATTTCCTTTAGAGCCTATGGTATAAGTATTCCTAGAACATCATGCATTGTCAATGAGCAGAAAGCAAGTAAACTAAGTAAAAACACAACTGTAGGATGAATTGAAATGATATTTGGTGTTAACAACCAAATATGATCTAGCACACGAACCACAAAAAATAAGGAGTAAGTGGCTAGCTAAAGCACATTTTGTTTTCACAACCTTTAAAACCCCCAACAGCATAGAAAATCTTTGAGCTGAATATTGGAGCTCTGCTTTGCCACTCTTGAAGGCTGGACCCTGTGTCAAGAGATAAGGGTTCCATCCTTGGTTATTACAAAAGTAGGCTTTGGAAAAATATACACCTCTTCCGGAAATTCCCTATAATGACATATTCAAACAAATTGAATAAGATAGCATCCCAGATATCTCGTAGAAAATACTGCCAAAATACTACTATATGTTTTACCAAAGGATGCCATTTAAAGACTAAAAATCAACATGTGAATTATTAAACAGAAGTGGCAAATTTATTACCTAAAGAACACCACAAAGACTAGAGGCATTTATTACTGGTGGTCAATAAAATTGTCCACAGTTAGCAGTCCATATCTATTAGCTTAGGAGAGTCATTGGAATATAGAATTATAGATAACAACACTAAGCTAGTTGGATCTTTCACAAATAGAGAGGACAATAGCATTGAGCAGATATTCATAAAAGAGGAATGGCCACAATGACTAAATACAAAAGTCCGTTCAGACAGTTTTTATAAATGCATGACCTGATAACAGATGCTCACCAGAGGACGCAAATGGAAATTGAGAGATCCTTGAATGCTTTCTGAGAGCAAATCCCATGATCTTGAAAAAGACAAAAGATGACCTGCAAAATGCAGAACTCGTGTATATGTGAAAGAATGTGACATGTGACCATCATCCACCACAAGGTCCACAACTAATAAACTCATACAGAAAGTGATTCCAAAGGTCATAAAAAGGTTCAATGTCAAAACACATCCACAAGTATACGAAGAATCACCAGTTATAGTCACAATTATAGATGAGGAGACCAAGATTTCATAGAAATATCCAGACATCATATCGGATAATTGCTTGAATAGAGTAGTGAATTGAAATATTCCATTAGTGTGTTAAAAAATTAAGTGCACCTTCATAGATCTACTAGCAGTAAGGGTAATTGCTTGAATAAATTATTCTGAAAAATGAAAAAAATGATGGCCCAGTAAATAAATACCCTGATTAGCAGTTTCTTGTTGACAACAATTACCTATTTGAGGTAAAAAGTAAGGTATATTAATTTATGACTAGATATGATAGAATAGCAAAGTTATCAAGAGGAGTGGTCTAAGATTCCAACCTCTCCTTATCATCCTTATAAGCATCATTTCCTGCATCAAAGCACAGTTGCAAATGAGATAAAACACAAAAAAACATTTAAGCAATTTGAGAAATAACAGACATGTATATAAGCTATGAAAAAGAATGACATTAAAATGGGAAGTCAACCTTCTTGACAAGTTATATGTAGAAGAAGTGAGGTAAAAACAGATCCTAATTTAATAAAACATAAGAACAACAAGGATTTCGAGAAGATATAAAGAAAGTAACATTGTAGAGAAAGCCAGAACCACAATACTTATTTTGTTTGCGCTCTTTCTTTCTTTCTTTCTGGTTTTGTGACAAACACCAAAATGAATGGTTATCTATGATGGATAAATTATTTTACAGAATGAAGTGGTTTTCTATGAGTAGATGATACAATGCATAATAACCTCCTAATCGTGTCAAGTGGCCTCTGACAAGCTATTTGCAAGTAAATGTGAGAAGCATACCAGAGAGAGAAGGGTGCTTACTGAACGCAAGAGAGAGAGAGAGCTGCTTACCGAAAGCAACAGAGCGACCTCACGCAAACACGTCCCCCAAAATTTCCACTCAAGTTGGTCAATTATTATTACGAGGAAAAAGTTTATACAAGAATGCTGCCTTATAATGTAGAACTACGGATGCCCCTAAAAAAATCCATCGTAAAAGGTAGTTTTTAATGTTGAAAAACCTTTTGATTGATCATCTCCACATTCATATACAGGATTATGATAAATAAAAAGATTTTAAATATAAAAAATAGTACATTTTATAATATATTATCTACACCGTCCATTTCAAAATTTTCATATGTTTATAGACCTACTTGATTTTAACCATTTTTGAAATTTAAAATTTTATAATTCAATATAAAAATAGATTTTAAGATAATCCTAAGAACATTTTGGAAAATTATCACTAATATACCCATATTTTTAAGAAATTTTAAAAAAACCTCCAACTTCCCAAAACCTCGCCCACACATTTTTTTTCCCATTTTCGTGATTTTTTTGACGAAACTATCATTTACCGTAGTCTTTGTACCATAAAAAGAATTACGGTAGTTTTTAATACCGTAATGTTTAGTCGCCCTTATACGGTAATAAGAGTACCGTATTAATATAAAACAGTTTTACGGTAATATGGTTACCGTATTGTTTTAATAAACAATTATGATACTCGTAGTACCGTAATTTTTCAAGAATTTGTTACGGTAATAGAGTTACTGTAATTATTTCTCGCTTTTTTTTTTTTACCAATTTTTCATAAAACCCTATTTTGACAGATTGTTTAGCACTTTCATCCTTTTTTTATCTCTCTCATCTATTTTCGATCATATCATATATTATTTATCGATCTTTGAAGGAGGTCTATCAGAGGATCAAATTTACACACCAACTGATTTTTAGGTATGTCATCAAAATATTTTGTTGTTTTTAACATCTAAAATAAATATGGGAAATGACCTTGTGATACCCTCCCACACCTATATGTGTAGGACCCCAAATGATCACACATGGGTGTAGGAGGGTCTCATATGATCATTACTCAAAAAATATTATGTTGCATAAATAAGTTTTAGATTTATTTATATTGTTGCATAAATAAGCTTAGATTTATTTAATGGTTGGCCATCAAAATATGTTTTCCAATTTTTTTTATATTATGACAATTGTAGTTTGGATGACAATTATTTTATTATTATGACAATTTATTTAATGGTTGGCCATCAAATAATAGCTTATGTAGTTTGGATGACCATTGTAAATTTGTTTTTATATTATGACAATTGTATTGCAATCTAATGTCTCTCATGCAACCTCCTCACTATTTGGAAGCATTTTGAACTTCTTCTAAGTATTTTTCATGTTTCCATTTGAAATTCTTATGCAGTGATTCAGCTTGTACGCATCAATAATGGGTGAGAACAGAGTGAAAATCGTTTTACACTTTGGTGGATTTTTTAGTAGGAAAACAAATGAAGACAATATTTTTTATGACGGTGGAGACGTAAAGGTTTTATTTTTTAAGGGGATCCCATCATTTGAACAAGTCAAGGATCACTTGTCAAAAGTATCAAATTATGCCCCAAGTGCCATGACTATTAGGTATATTGACCTAGGGTTAGTAAGTAATATGATACGTATTGATGATGATGATGACATGACTAATATGATGTAAGGGGATTCTCTCATTGCTATATACGTATCAAACAGACCTATTGAGTCTGAGTGCACTGAATATCAACCATCAACAACACCCGATATTGGTCTGTCTGACTGCACTGAATATCGACCACCAACAATGCCCGATAATGATCCATCAAGATTGGTCATGTAAGAAGTTTGCAATAGAAATCATTAATTTTCTTATTTGTCAATTTCTTATTATGGGTTAGGATAATTCTAACTTGTCTTGATTTTTTTTCTACAACACATCCCGATTAGAGCAAGTAGGTCACAATGAATGTGCTGCTGTCATAGGCGTACAAGATGAGCATGAATAAAAAATCGAGCGGCATATGGACGACATTGACCGGATAGAAAGCCCCTTGAGGATTAACCGTTACGAAGTTGTACTTCAAGATGGTCAGGACATACCGTAATCATCTTATTGATTATGTCATATCACAAAACTTCAATGTGAAGTTCATATAAAGCGATGGGAGACGTGTATGGGCAAGGTGTGTTGTAGATGGTTGTTCATGGCTAGTACATTGTTGGAGGGTTAATACAACAAACTTCTTTAAAGTTGGTAAACATGCACTCATGTGTCGGGGAAAAACGTAGGGTTCATCATCCACTTGCATGAAGCCACTGGGTGCCAAGCAAGATCAACGACCGGTTGAGTGATATGCCCAATCCTACACCTGGAGATGTGGTTAATGATAAATAATATGATCACGGTGTCATATTATCATACCAACAAGTATGGCGGGGCAAGAGGTTGCACAACAGATAAATGAGGGTTCCCATGTGAAGTCATACGAGGATCTCGCTAAATATCTTCATAAGATTCGAGTCACTAACCTTGGAACCTTAACGATCATTCAAACAAATAATCATGATAGGTTTGAGCGTGTATTTATAGGCAATCATCCATGTTTGTATGGATTTTTGTTTGGTTGTAGGCTGCTAATAGGATTAGATGGGACATTTTTTAAGGGAATATACAAAGGGATATTATTGGCTGCAGTTGGGGTAGATGTGAATGAAAATATTTTTCTTATAGCATATGCAGTGGTTGAGAGTGAAAATACAGCAAGCTCGACTTGGTTCCTAGAACTTCTGAATGAACAGTTTTTCGAAATGCCAGCATTGACTATTGTTTCAGATCATCAGAAAGGGTTACAAGTTACAATTGAAACAGTATTTCCAACCAGGGAACAAGTCTATTGTATGAATCACCTTGTCGATAACTTCAAAAAGGCATACAAAAATTCCACACTGCTTTATTGGAAAGTTGCACATACAATTGACTAAATCAGACTTCGATGAGTACATGGCAAAGATTAAGAGTGCAAATGCTGAGGCTTATGACTGAAGCATGTTACATCATCTGAAATATTGGGCAAACGTATATTTTTAGGAGTATAGAGACAATCATCTTACATCCCTTTGAGTCATTTAACCGGTGGATATTACAGGCTCGGGAGAAGCTCCTTGTTAAACTCCTTGAATGCCTAAGAAGCTCATGGGAGAATTTTTGAAGAAGATGGTCATGTCCCTAGAATGGAGTGGCGTGCTTACACCGAAGGCCCAAAAGGTAATAAACCTGAGGACAGATAAATCCAGATTCCTTCATACAATCACATGGGTACATGATGACATGTATGAGATCATTGCGGATAAGAAATATGCTCTTAATCTGACGACTCATATATGTAGTTGTCGAGTGTGGTAGGTTAGTGGGTTGTCATGTAGTCATGCAATCGCTACTATAGATCATAGGCATGAAGATGTTATAATTATTGCAGCGTTTATTACATAGTTCAAATATACTGAAGAGCATATTCCCTTCCCTTCAACCCAATGCATGATGTATTAGAGTTGTCAAAGATTATCTATACAATTTTAATACTGCCAATTGCAAGGCGAACCGCAGATCTGGCAAAGAAACGTTGCAAGCAAACAAAGTACAAAAAGATTAGGCCTCTTAAGTTTAGCCGATGCAGGGTTGTGGGCCATAACCGGAAGACATGTAAATCAAGTATATAAAATGATATAAATAGGATATTAGTGTCAGTTGATCTTTTTTTGATATGTCATTTTCTAAAGAGGTCAGTGCCTACTGATATGGTCTCAAGCTATCTAATTTCAAGCTAAATGGTCTCATTCTATTTATATAATTAATGGTCTCATTCCATCTAAACTTTTAAGCTATCCAATTTGAAGGTGCATCTTATGTTGATTGTTTAGGGCTTCAGCCATTACAAACCACACCCTTACTTGATTCATCTTAAGTTATGGAAGTCTAACAAAAAGAAAAAAAAATGGTAATTATGGAATAATCACAGTATAAAAAGCATTATGGAATTCCATACTTTGGAGTTGTAGTAATAAAAAGTTAAAATACTGCCAAAAAGCACCTGGTATTGATATAGGTACTAATGCTTAAAATACTGCTAAAAAATAATAGGCTTTGGACCATTATGGTCTTTGTATTACGATACAAAGAGTACCGTAATCCTCATTATGGTACTCTTAGTACCGTAATAATCCTTTAGACCATTACGGCTATACAAAGACCGTAATGGTCCAAAGCTTACTGAAATTCCAGTATGCTTTGGACCATTACAGCCTTGGTACCGTAGTGGTCATTACGGTATTCTTAGTACCGTAATAGTCCTTGAGACCATTACGGTCATACAAAGACCGTTATGGTCCAAAGCTTAATGTAATTCTAGTAAGCTTTGGACCATTACGGTCTTTGTAAGACAGTAATGGTCTAAAGTACTATGACAGTATTAATAGTACCGTAATGCTCGTCACAATACTCTTAGTACCGTAATGCTTTTTTTAGAACATTACGGTCATACGAAGACCGTAATGGTCCAAAGCTCACCGAAATTCAAGTAAGCTTTGGACCATTACGGTCTTTGTAAGACCGTAATGGTCTAAATGATAATAAAGCATTACGGTACTCTTAGTACCATAATAGTCCTTGAGACCATTATGGTACTCTTAGTACCGTAATAGTCTGAAAAACGTATAATACAATACCAAAGTAAAGTCACAGAGATAGAGAAGCTTTTCACTACCCATACCCTTTCTTATGCTTAGTGGCATGCAAACCTACTGATCAACAGGACCTCCTTCTACACCAATAGCAATATCAGGCTTAAATCTGATCTGGTCTTTCTAAACTCAGTCAAGTCAAGCCCACCCAAAGAAAACCATGCATTTGAGATCTCCAAATAATTTGTCCATCACCCCTCCTTCCATGTAATCTAGACAAAAAAGGCACTGAGAAGAAAAATGCCATGACCATCATCTCTGTATCCATGAAGGCTACGACCATAGTGTAGAAGAAGAACCTTTTGGAGTACATTTTAAATACACCAACAATAGAGAGACATTGAAAATCAAAAGCATTTTAACAATATAGAACTTAT